GGGGTAAAAGTGCTCACAAAAAATCCTTGTGTGGATTTTCAGAGAATGCCATTGGAATATATAGCTAAAATCATCAAAATACCGAATAACGGGGGAACCGTTATATGGGGGCTATACGATATCGTTAACCTATATAGAGAACTCTATGTCAGGGGGTAAAGTGCTCACAAAGAACGCCTTGTGTGGATTATCAGACAATTCCGTTGGAAAATGTGGGTAATATCATCAAAATACCGAATATAGGGGAGTACTGTTATATGGGGGATATACGATATTGTGGACCTATATAGACAATTCCGTTTCAGGGGTAAAGTGCACACGAAGAACTCCGTGTGTGGATTTTCAGACAATACGATTGGAAAATGTGGCTAAAATCATCAAAATACCGAATATCGGGGGGTACCGTTATATGGGGGATATACGATATCGTGGACCTGTATAGACAATTCTCTCTTAGGGGGTAAAGTACTCACAAGAAACTACTTGTATGGATTTTAAGACAATTCCATTGAAAATGTGGCTAACATCATCAAAATACTGAATATCGGGGGGTACAGTTATATGGGGGATATACGATATCGTGGACCTATATAGACAATTCTTTTTGAGGGGGTAAGATGTTCACAAGGGACTCCTTTTGTGGAATTTCAGACAATTTCATTGAAAAATGTGGATAAAATAATCAAAATGCCAAATATCGGGGGTACCGTTATATGGGGGCTACACGATATCGTGGACCTATATAAATAATTCTCTGCCGAGGTATAAAGTACCCACAAGGAACTCCTTGTGTGGATTTTCAGACAATTCCGTTGAAAGATGTGGGTAAAATCTTCAAAATACCGAATATCGGGGGGTACAGTTATATGGGCGATATACGATATCGTGGACCTGTATAGACAATTCCCTATCAGGGGGTAAAGTATTCACAAGGAATTACTTGTGTGGATTTTCAGACAATTCCGTTGAAAAATGTGGATAAAATCATCAAAATACCAAATATCGGGGGTATCGTTATATGGGGGCTGTACGATATCGTGAACCTATATAGATAATTCTCTGCCGAGGTATAAAGTACCCACAAGGAACTCTTTGTTTGGATTTTCAGACAATTCCGTTGAAAAATGTGGCTAAAATCATCAAAATACCGAATATCGGGGGTACCGTTATATGGGGGCTATACGATATCGTGGACCGATATACCCCATCTTCGAACTTGACCTGCCTGCAGACAAAAGAGAGATCTGTGCAAAATTTTAGCTTCCTATCTTAATTCGTTTAGTCTGTAGCGTGATTACAACAGACGGACAGACGGACGGACAGGGCTAAATTGTCTTAGAATTTTACGCTGATCAAGAATATATAAACTTTGTTGGGTCAAAAATGATTATTTCGATGAGTTACAAACGGAATGACGAAGTTAATATACCCTCCATACCTTTTTTGGTGGAGGGTATAAACAAAATAGAATCCTTTAAAAACTCTGTTAAAATCTTAAAAATATCGAATGTGGCCGTTATATTAGGGTCTATACGACGACGTGGACCTGCATAGGCAACTATTATACCTAGGAGAATAATGTAGCTAAAATGATCAAAATACCGAATGTCGGGAGGTACCGTTATATTGAGGCTGTGCGAAGACGTGGACCTGCACAGACAATTTTCTGTCTTAGGCTGTAGTATCCATTACGAACTTCAAAACCAAGTTTCAAACAATTCCGGTGAATAATGTTGCCAATAACATCAAAATATCGAATATCGGGAGGTACCGTTATATTGAGGCTGCACGAAGACGTGGACCTGCACAGACAATTTTCTGTCTTATGTTTTAGTATCCATTACAAACTTCAAATACCAAACTTGAAACAATTCCGGTAAACAATGTCACTAAATAAATAAAACACCGAATATCGGGAGGTACCGTTATATGAGGGCTATACCAAAACGTGGATACCAAAATTCCTGCAGACATAACATACAGTTGAGTAAAATTTTATCAATCTACTTCAATTCGTTCGGAAGCTAGAGTGATTTCCACAGACGGACAGACGGATAGACGGACGGACATCGCTAAATCGATATAGAATTTTATGCTGATCAAGATTATATCTACTTTGTGGGGTGTAAAATGTATATTTCGAGGTGTTACAAACGAAATGACAAACTTAATATACCCTCCATATTATGGTAGAGGGATGTGAGTTTGTGCAAAATTCTTCAATAATCCAACATCATTCTAGAAGCATGACGTCAAAGACAAAATTATTCTCCACCAAATTTCAGTATAAATCACATTGGAACCGATAAACTGTATATAACGGTTAAGTCACTTCGAATCCTAAGAAAAAGATGATAGGACGGTGGTCACTTTTAACGACAAATGATACGAAGAGGTGCGCTGGTCATTGTAATTGTCAATTTGTCGAGCACCCCGAGATTGATAGTGCGAAGCGAAGATTACTACGCCGTATAAAATCTATTTCCGTATAAGATCTATTCCCACAGTTTACGAAACCCTAAGTCACCCAAAGCGTTGGGCCCAGACGAGCAGACATACGGGTCTAATATGAGTATTTCGAAGAAGAAGAATCGGAATGACAAAGTTATTATACTCATCATGGTATGGTTGATGGTATAAAACAAGTAAAATTCAGAAAAAGACATGAAAACTTTATTGGAAGTGATTAGGTACGCCCCATTTAATTTAATGTTTGAACATTCATGTCAATCAATAAAATAGCTTACATCATAGCATATATCCAACAATATTTCAAATCTAAAATGAGTATTGATAATTGTTATACTGACAAATTAACCATAATACATGTTTTGGTTGAAGTCGTGGCTATTTTAATTTTTGTTTTATTTAACCACCATTTTTGGCCAAAATATTAAAATTAGATAAGATCCACAAATGTATTGTAATTAAAACCAGTATTAAGACTTGGTTCATGTCTAATATAAGTATTTCCCATTATTTTACTTGATAAATCTACAAGTAAGATTTAACCAAAAGAAGAAACCGCAGCATATTTTAAGGCTGTTGATAATACTCTATTGTCACAGTACAGAATTTAAGAATTTGTTCGATATGGTCACCTTTGACACGAATAATGGCTTTGAAACCATCACACGCTGCCCGAATGTTGCTTTGTGGTATTTTGGCCTATTCCCGGCGAAGCGCTTGCTTGGGGTGATCGACACTTTGGTATTTTTTAGTGCCAACCTTTCTTTCCCAAAAAATACTCCAGACACCATAGTCTAACGGATTTGTATCCGGAGATTTTGGTGGTCATTGTGCGCTGGAAATGAAGCGAAGAACCTCAACTTGTAACCATTCTTGGGTGGGGCGGGGTTGTGCAAAATATTTGCGTGCCCAAGGCTTTAATATATCGTACAGAATATTTTCGCGATAATATTGGGCATTTATTCTGATGACACGGTCGATTAATACGAGCGGGGAGCGACCGTCACTGTTATGACGGCCCACACTTTTTTTCTTTAGCTCTTTTGAGTCTATTTTCTTTCTGTTGCGATGTAAGTTCTTGCACTTTTTGGAATTTCAATGGCTTTACCCCGAATTAATTTTTCAATATTTGCCGAATGGAATATTGCGATATGTTCAGCTCACGAGCCATTTTTCGGCCTCTGCGACGCGGGTTTCAGTCGCTTTTTTTTATTTTTTTTTTATTTTGCTGTTGTTATTTTCATGGTCAAATATCAAATACAAAATGGTTGCAAAATCAACGTCGTCTAAAAAATACAATGTCGTCACAATTTTTACGGCGACAGATATTCTCAAAAATCGACTCCACGTCGACAGGTGTATCGACAATGATAATATTAATCATTTGTCGCTATCGACAAAAAACGACAACCCTAATACCGTTATTGTCGCTTCGACTTCATTTGCGACGACGACAACCATAATAGGACCGAATATTTCCACAAACATTGTATGTGACAAAAAAAAAAATGTGAATTCTGAAGTGAAGTCTGCCCATAAAATGGTTAAAATTTTGAAATAATCACATATCTCGTAGAAAAAGAAAAGTGTGGATATATCGGCCCGCTGCTTTTGGTATCTCTCTAAAAAGTAAACAATTTTAATAATCGCAATATCTAAGGGGTGAACATTTTGTTTAGAAGATAATCAATATAACCTTTCTAGAAGAGAATCTTATGATCTACAATATTTGTTTTAGCAACATTCTTATAAAACTTACCATATTCGAGAAAAACGCAAATACAATATTAACCCTTGACAGCGAATATATTATTTGTCCCATAATTGAACTTGGTTAAAAGTTGATCGATGTCAATTTTAAGTAGTGGGTGACAATGAAAATAGATGATGATGATATATTTTTTTTTTAATTTAAAGCATATTGAAATGATTGAATGATTTGAAAATTGTAAACCAATCTTGCCTATTTAGCTTTCCAAAGTTACAAAAGCAATTAATGTTTATTTTTAGCAATTTATTTATTTCATTTTATTGTTTAAATAAAAAAAAAACAAAATATTATTTTTTTGTGTTTGTTTGTTATACCCATTGTTTTATACAAAATACAATTAACTACTCTATTTCACAACATGTTAGACTACATTACAAATATTACATATGTATTGGTATTGGTTAATTGGAGATATATAGGTAGATATTTACATTACTTTTACATACAAAAGGTCATACCTTTATGGAAAACACATTATCTTCACTTTACCACAAAATTAATTCAAGCCTAGCAAATATTTTTTCGGTTTTTTATTTTTTTTTTTTAATTTTTTTGTCAACAAAATATCATCCACTTGATTAACTACTTTATGCTTAAAAAATACAATTTGTTGTAATAGCAATTATTATTAATAAAAAATATATATAAAAACAAATTTATATGTATATGATTAGATAGTGCTGGAAGTAAGTGTGTGTTTTGGGGGAAGGGGGTTTTTCTCTTTCAGGACAGGAGTGATCACATTTTGGAGCTTGGCTGGTTTTTGTTATTTTAAGGGAAATTTTCTTTGAGGCGTATCCTGGGATGAGCAAAAGGAAAGGGCTGATTTTAAGGGGTCCTCTAAGAGTTACAACGGTTGTTTAGCTTTTGTTTCGTTTTTCATTTGTTTAAGGTTCTATGGCACAAGCTTTTTAAATCCCGCACCTTCTTGACCAAGTTTGAGCTCTTCATAGATTGTTGGGTTCACTTCATTGCATTGGGTGTGTGAATCTACGCCATCCAGACTTGAGGTTTTATTGGCTGCTCCACTACCACCATTACCACCACCAACACCGCCTCCGCCACCAGTCACCGCTCCGTTTGTCCCCACTCTTGCGGTCATTGTGGGACGTTGTGATGCCGTTGTGGCAGGTGTTGTTGTATTTGTTGTTGTCAAATTCGTTGAGGCGGCTGGTGCCCGACTAAAGTTACCATTGCCATTAGTATGCGTCAGGGCGGATGTTACAGTTGGTAACTAAGCGTGAGTTTATTATTAAGTTGCAAGAAAAAGGAGGATTTGATTATTTTCGTTTGCCAACAACAACACACACACACAAGCATTCCACACAGACACAGGCACACACACACAGAAACACGTGTACAATATGTGTCAGTAAGTTCATTGAGTTCATTGAGTTAGACATTTACCGCAAAAGGAAGGAAAAGATAAAAAAGGGAAGAAAAAAAAACATAAGTGAATTGGAGGAGAAAGTACACAACATAAATTGATGACAGAAACACACACACATTGAAATAGAATAACAAAAACAACAATAACTAAGTAAGCAAGCCACAATAAATTTTTATTTGAAGCATCTTCTCTTAAACAGCAACAACACCAATATAAGCTGCCATTGTCAGAATAATGTGAAGGCACAATCAGTTACAAAAATTTGTACATATGTTGTCAAAACATCCTCAGACAGTGGATCACAAACTGTTTCGAATTGGCATAATCTAATTGAATTTGTTATTAATGTCTAGACTCGAGACACACATGTCTGCCGAACAAAGAAATCAAGTAAAAAAGATTGAATATTATTAAATAATGACCTTAATGTAGGTCATTTCAAGTTCATGGAATATATTAATATTTTATTTTCAGTTATTTTATTCACATTCGAAAATAATTTTTTTATCTTTATTGGCATTTAAGGGTGACCAATAGTGATTTTTTTTTGTTGTATACGTTTAAGTATTTAATAAAAAAATTATTGAAATATATATCAGGCTACATCAAGAAGGTATTGGTAATTTAGAAAATGTATCTTAAGAGACCTATATAAATTTGTATAGGTCAGTGACACTTGCCATTAACAAAACGAAACCAGTATTGTAAACTGAAGTCATTGTAACATATGAATGAAGACCTTAGCATACCTTCAGGCGCGCATGTTTTTTATTCAAGTCGGATATTTGTTTCGTGGCAGAAGTACGGACAAGGTCCTAAAACGTTTTTCTTTCAACGAGGCATTGAATTTAAAGCCCTTACTTTGGGAAACCATAAGATTCAGGGGTGAATCTAATTATAACCTACACCACTTAGTGGTAAGGGAATTATGTCTTTGTGCAGTTGTTTGTAACATGGATTAGGAAGCGAGATAGACCATAGAGGATCTTCATGGAATAACTTTCTGAGTCGATTTATGAAGGTCTGTCCGCTTAGCGAACAAAATGCAGGTTGCATTTACTATTCGACTGAGATGAAATTTTCTAACTAATATTTCTTTGGCACAAAGACGAATCCTATTGAAATTGGAGAGAATCGGTTCAGATTTGAATATAGTTCCCATATATATCTTCAACCGATTTCTGGTTAATTGTGCACCAACTGACCAACATCAGTCCCAAGGACATGCATTTTGACACATCCGACGAATCCAGTCTAGAAGTAAGTACATCAAATTTGGTGAAAATCGTTTCAGATATAGCTATAGCTCCCATATATATGCTTAATCTGATTTGGTGTTTAAGTTCCTCACATTCGTAGTATGCATTCGACAGCAATGATATTTAGTACCCAATATCTTACAGAGCGCGGAAATACCTCTGCCAAATTTTATGAAGATCGGATCAGATTTGGATTTAGCTCCAAATGACCAATATCTGTTCAAAAGTCAAAATTACCTCAATTTTGAACAATGATATTTGGCAGATATCTAATAGAGCTCGGAAATACCTTTGCCAAACTTTATCGAGAACGGCTAAGATTTGGATATAGATCCTATATATATATCCTTAATCCGATTTAAGGATTATTGTGCAAATAATGGCTAATATCAGCCCAAATGGAGTGAATTTCTGGACGTACGTTTCCATCTTGTGCAACTCGGCTCCGATATATATATATTTTTTTAAAATAATCCTTTCTAGCATTGTTATTTGGTATAAACGAGCAAAATGTCTCCGTCAAATTTAGTGAAAATCGATTCAGAATTGGATATGCCTCCCATATAGTAGTTTCCTCTGTAACCAAACTATAACTGCTCTAAAGCAAATGTTGATAGGTTGGATAATAACATCAATGTAAAGGTCAGAATTATCCTTGTCATGGCTTTGTGATTTTAATTAATGAAATGTTGAAAAATTTTAATTTTTTCAACACAAAATTATGGCCTATTTTACCCGCTAAATATTATCCGATGACCACCCAAATTAGTAGGCTTCTTCCCCGCCCTAAACTCCATCTACACGCGTCGATTGGTCTATAATTGCGACCTGTATAGCTACTGCAAAATCCGACATTTTTCAGTATTTGGTCCATTTCAACCCCTAAACATTTGGCGATCATCTCCAAAGGAAATAGGCTTCTATTCTGACCCTAACCCCACCTTCGTGCGACCTGTAGCGTGATTACAAATTAACATGGACAGACGGACAGACGGACGGACGGACGGACGGACATACATAGCTAGATCGACTCAGCTCGGCGAGCTAGAAAGATCCATATATACTTTCCTATGTGGGAAACCAATATTTTGAGGTGTTACATAATTTTTGGCCCAATCAAACTTATAATACCCCCAACACATAGTGTTGTAGGGTATAATTAAAAGTCAATAGGAACTAATATTTGGGAGGAATATCCTCCTCTGAATCGATTTCTACTCAATTTGTCGAGGCATTTGCACCTTTTCAATTCGGGCTTGTATTATCCATTTGTTGCAGAATAAACTTGAAAGCGGATAGATATATATGAGAGCTACATCTAAATCTGAACCGATCTCGATAAAATTTGGCAAAGACATTTCTGAGCTGTATTTGATACATTTCCATATTACGGCTGTACAGGCAAATTCAACAAATCGAACCGATTTCCACCAAATTTGACGTACTAGCTTCTAGACTCAATTTGGTCGTAAGTACCAAATTCCATTACATTTGGGCTAATATTACTTGTTTGGTGTACAATAAAAGGCAAATCGGGCGAACGTATATATAGAAGCTATGTCCAAATATTAACCAATCTCGATAAAATTTAGCAAGGGTATTTCTGAGTTATATTTGATATATTTCTCCAAATATCATTGTTACAGAGTGCATATTAAGGCTGCCGAGGACAAAAATTACAAATCGGATGAACAATATATATAGGTGCTATATCTATATCTGAACCGATTTCTATCAATTTTGGCATACTTATTATAAAGGCCCAATCTGGTTGTATGTGATTTCATACTATTTGGGTTGATATTACAAGTTTCGTGCCCAATATAAAGCAAATTGGACGAAAATATACATGGGAGCTATGCCTAAATTTTGACCGATTATCTCTAATTTCAATAGGGTTCGTCCTTGGATCAAACAAATTATTTTTCTATTATTATTCAATGCAGATCATCAAAAGGAACTATGAGTCTATCTCTTCTCCTTTTGCCTGTTACAAACAAATGCACAAAGACATAATACCCTGACCACCTTGTGGTGTAGGGTTTAAACAGCGGTTGAATCGCTACTGGAACTTGTCAGCTTTCACTGAATATAATAATTACAGCCCAGCCCTTTGGACGGAATACCTTCAGGAGATTTTAAGGTGATAAAGTGTGTTAACTCTAAAAGTCAATCGAAATCGTGGTACTTGTTATACCCTCCACCATATATAGTATGGAGGGATTCTTGATCAGCGTAAAATTCTAAGACGATTTAGCCTTGTCCGTCCGTCTGTTGTAATCACGCTACAGTCAAAACGAATTAAGATAGGAAGCAAAAATTTTGAACAAATCTATCGTTTGTTCGAAGATGGCCTATATCGGTCCACGATATCGCATAGCCCCCATATAACGCCCCCGATATTCCGTATTTTGATAATTGTAGCCACATTTTTTAATGGTATTGTCTGAAAGTCTACACAAGGACTACTTTAGTCCCATACGATATCGCATATTCCCCATATATCGGTACCACGATATCGTATAGCTCCTATATAACGATACACCCAGATATTCGGTATTTTGATGATTTTACACAAGGAGTTCCTTCTTACTAAGAAACGGTTTCCAAATAAAATTTTGTAAAATTTTTAAATTGCGCTGATTACTCGCCCACACTTACAGGTTATCGAACAACATTTTATTTAAATTTTGTTGTTGCAAAATCGTCAGGCAAAATCCCATTATTGTTGTTTTTATAAAAACAACGTTTGTTTATGAGTGGAGAACGATTGATAGACACAGGCACGGTCGACGAAGGGGTTTTTGTTGTAACAGACAAAACAAACTTACATGGTTATGTTACTTCGTTCAGGTTGAACGAAAGCATAACAAGTGGAGAAAGATGAAAATGTTTATAAGTGCGGTTGCGGTTGTAAGATTTAGAAGATTTTCCAAAAGAATTTTAGTTTTATGTAATTCTTTTGTTCCTCTTCTATTGAGCTTACGATCTCGTCACTTGGGTAAAAAATGTTTTTTGTCATAGAAGTTATTTTAAAATAACTTCTGGGGAGAATATCCCAGACAAGAAACAAGGGAACTGATGAGGATTGGTGGCTCTTTCCGAAACCTAGGTATTCCCTGCCTTACCCCCTGGTAAACATTACCATCGTTCTCCACTCATAAACAAACGTTGTTTTTATAAAAACAACAATAATGGGATTTTGCCTGACGATTTTGCAACAACAAAATACTATGGTATCCCAAACAAGCAAGCCAAACACTGTTCTATTTTATTTAAATTTTAACAAATTATTGAGATATTATATACACCTGATGCTAGGAACTTAATATTTTCCATTTGTAACTTCAAAAATATACGATATCATGGTGAAATTTCACACGTATACTTATTTAATTTGTCAAATTGAGTTTCACAGTACATTTCAAAAGTTTGCACTCTTACAAAAGTTCCCACCCGTTTTCTCTGAACGTATCTCATTAACTCCAATTTACATTTAACCGATTCACATTTAACCTACAATTTAGCATATTTACCCTTTGGTGATCCACTGTTGAGTGCCTTGACTTTCAAATATCCTGGGACCTTTTGCAACTGATTTTACACTCTTTTCAACTTTAAAAGCACAACACGTAGCGTGTGTGTACAAAATAACAACAACAACAGCATCAAAAACAAAACAATCTACTTTGTTACAATAAATTCAATTTTGTTGCTAGCTTGCTTGTCTTTTCCTTGCTTGTTTTTCATACACATGGTGTGTGTGTGTGTGTGTGTGTGGGGCGTGCTTATGTGTTGCAGGGAGCAGCTACATACATACATACATTCAAGGAAATTTGTCATAACTCTTACCTGTACTTGCTCTAAACCTCGAGTGTATGTGGGATTCTCAAAAGCCACTCCAGTGGCTGCCTTACCATTTGCCCGATGTCGTCTGTAGAAAATAATGGCGGCGGCAGCTAAGAGCACCGCCAAAATGCTGGCAACAATACCGCTTATCGTGCCCACAGCATTCGAGTACGATGTTGTCGCTGAGGTAACATGATGCTCGCCAAGTGTGAATTTTATCGGTTCCGTTAAAACACTGGCACCTGCAAAAGCGAAAAACAAAAACAACGACAAGGTGAAAAACGAAATTAACGACTGTGTTGTGGCAGTGATATGAAATGGTGGGACCGCAAAGCGAAAACATGAGAAAAATGGGCAACCAGAGAATATATATTCTGGTTGTATGTTTATGTGTGTGTGTCTGTGGCAGGATAGTGTGACCTGACAGTTCGAAATAGACTTATGAAATTCTTTTAGACAATGAAATAAAATAAAAAAATAGTTTAAATTTTGAAGACCTGATGGCACGAAAGGGGTTAATATTGCACTTCGCCCCAAACTATGCTTTAAAAGCTATGTGTATTTAAACTTCCAAGCCAAGCATGGGCCAAATTTTGAATGAATTTCGGTCGAAATGAAGAAATTATTAAATATCGAAAAATAGAGGCAGCCCCATATTTTTCTATGAAAAAGTTTTTACTCAGTTTAGGCATACAAAAATTAAAAAAAAACGTAGCATCCTGGTTAATGCGAGAGAAAATTAAAAATATCCGTCAAAAAATGAACTTCGCCTTAACAAGGATTCTGGTTAAGAGAAATATGTACTGTAAGGAATCGCTGACTTGTTTCGCAAGTTTTGAGAGATAAAAGTATAGAAAATTCTGACCCTTTGTGGGTGAGGTCCCAGAAGGTGTTCGCAGATAAATATCATCTTCACAACAGATCTTGTGTTAGCAAAAATGTTTGTGTGTGAAATTTGAAGATAATTAGATGCTTATTTCGCTTTATTTGAGCGTTTTGGTTTTCAAATCTTGAAGTCTATGTGGGGCAGGTACCAGAAGAAATGGTCCAATTTCTACCATCTTTATAACAGATCGTGTGTTGATGAAACTATTGAGATGTACCAGGTCTGAATGGAATTGGATGTTAATTTCGCGTTGTATGAGCTTCATGGATATTCAAAATGTTGACCTTTTGTGGAGCAGGTACTAGAAGAAGTAGACCGATATATACTATCTTCAAAGCTCTTGCATTAGTAACAAGTAAGCAAAGGCTACAGTCGAGCGGGGCCGACCGTTGAATACCCTACAACACTATAATAAACGATACAGTTAATATAGGCGAGATACTCGAAAGAATTCCACAAGATATTGTGACAAATAATAAAAGAAAACCATCAGGTTCCGTTCTATAATTTTCGAATAATAGCAACTGAAACTAATTTGCTCATTTCCAATTTATTGGTAGATGTTGCACGTAAATGGTCTTCCTATATCTGGAACCAATATTTCCCAAAGACCTATAATCTCTCAGAAGTGGCAAAAGATTATCATTTATTATTGGGTTTTGACAAAACGCATCTATATGAGATACAGTCAGAAGTGCGTCTTTCCTGTATTTGTGAATTCTCCAAAAAGTCACTGGAATGGACATTTTCGTATTTTGTCTATAAAAGATGGCAAGCTCCTTCACACATTGAATATTTTTGGATGGCCATCCAAAATTGCTTGGCTTTTGCAATGTCCGGTAACCCCTATAATTACGACCTGCTGACAATGTTGCAGTTTTTTGGTCCATTTCAACCCCTAAATATATGGCGATCATCTCCAAAAAGAATAAGCTTTTATTCTGACCCTCATCTTATCTCCATGCAAAATTTCGGGCCATAAATGCGATCTGTATATGATATCCTGATATCCTAACTACTTAGTTTTTTTAGCTGTAGAAATATTACCAAATGTTTAATTCAAAATGAAAATATGCCAAAAATATGACAAAATTGAAAAAATATGAGAAAATTTTACAAAATCAATATTTTCATCTTTAGAGAGATATTTTTATGCGATTTTTTTAGACGTTTTTTCTTTAATGGCAAGAGGCCATTCTGAATTAATGAGAACTGTCGAAATCAGTTCAGCCGTTCTCGACATATAAGAGATTTTTCAAGCATATCTTCTTTGATAAACATATATATCGCACATATTTTCTATATATCCGTTTTGTTGGATGTTAACATCAATGTAAAGATCAGAAGTAACCTTGTCATGGCTTTGTGATTTCCCCGGGATTTAAAATATTCGCGGTTTAATGAAAAATTTTGAATTTTTTCAACAAAAAAGATATGGTCTATTTTACCCGCTAAATATTATCCGATGACCACCCAAATGGGTAGGCTTCTTGCCAGCCCTAAACTCTAGCTACATGCGAAATTCCGCGTCGATTGGTCTATAATTGCGACCTGTAGAGCAAGTGCAAAATCAGGAATTTTTTCAGTTTATGGTCCATTTCAACCCCGAAATATTATGCGATCATCACCAAAAGAAATAGGGTTCTATTCTGACCCTAGCCCCACCTCCATTTTAAATTTCGTGTAGATCGGACCATAATTGCGACCTGTAGAGTGATTACAAATTAACATGGACAGACGGACAGACGGACAGACGGACAGACGGACGGACGGACATACATAGCTAGATCGACTCAGCTCGGCGAGCTAGGAAGATCCATATATACTTTCCTATGTGGGAAATCAATATTTCGTGGTGTTACATAATTTTTGGCCCAATCAAACTTATAATACCCCCAACACATAGTGTTGTAGGGTATAAAAATTCTGGGATGTGTGAAATATGAAGAGAACCGGATGCTTATTTCGGGTTTTATAATCGTTTTGGTTATTCAAAACTTTGACCATTTGTGTGGGAGGTGCAATAAGGAATGGGTCAATTTCTACCATCTTTGTAATATATCTTGTGTTGATGTAAATATTGAGATGTGCCAGATCTGAATGGAATCGGATGTTATTTTCGCGTTTTATGATATTCATGAATATTCAAAATTTTCACGCTATTTGGGGGAGGTGCCAGAAGAAGTGGACCGATATATTCCATATTCACACCAGATCTTGAGTTAATAAAAATATTGTGATTTGTATAATTTGAAGACGGTGGGACTCTTATGCCATATTTTATTTGAGATATAATTACTAAAAATTTTAACCCTCTGTGGGGGATGTACTTGATGGAGTGGACCGATATTGTCTATTTGCCCACCTGACTTAGCACTGATGCAAATATTAGGATTTGCAATGTTGGAGCAAAATCGGATTATCCTTTCTCTTTCTGTGCAGTAAAATATTTTTGTTTTTGCAGATTTCAGCCTTTTGTTGAGGAGGTACCAGAAGGTGTAGACCGATATGTCCCATCTCCAAACTCGGTCTAAGTTTGGCTATATATTTACAAGTTTGGACCAAATCGGATATTCCCTTTAAAAGTTATCGTACGCACCAGCCAGCCAGACAGATATACGCACGGACGGACATCGACCAAATGTCCAGAAACGGATTTGGTTCAAAAAAACCTAGGGTCTAAAACCGTTATTTCTCTTTAGCCATATGGCTGAGGGCATAATTAATTTTGATCGGAATTTGTTCGATACGGCGTGAAAAATTTTGGACCCTTGTTAATGCTTATAGAGATGTTGGTGTGAAAGGTTATTATTGATTATTCTTCGATTAACTTCCCCTGCGAACTAAATCCATCTATTGAACTTCAAAATACCTTGTCTATTTTATAACCTGACCCAAAACATAACTTATTTTAGCAAATCCAGCCGCCAAGTGCCAACATTTCAGTTCCACACACGTCTTATGACCAGGGCAAACCCAAACATTTTCATTATTTCTTCTTCCAAACACACAGACACAAATTTTCCAATTTCGACTTGCTCAGCAACATACCAATCAACAACCTTCATTTCATACTTACCGTAGCTATTGCCAGCTTTTACAACCAATTCGTACAAGACATCCTTTTTGAGACCATCTATATTCACACTGGTTTCCTTGACGTCGATGCGTCTCACCTCGGTGCCACTTAGCGGTGGTGCCGTGATATTACCAACACCGCCACCACCCATTTGCATGCTTGTTGCATTATTAAGCATTGTCGGTTCCAAAACAGCAGCAGCTGCAGCAGCACCGCCAACACCACCGCCGCCAACGCCACCATTTATTGTCTCGCTTGCTGTCACATCGTTACCAATTATGGCCGCTTCATGGTAGAAAATGCGATAGCCATCAACAGCATTGGGATTTTTCGCTGGTGGATCCCATCTGTGGCAAAAGGGAAATAAAGGAAAAATGAGAGAATTGAAAGAAGTGTTACATAAAATTTGTTTGTAGATGTAAGGGTGTAGACAAAAAGGTACTAATACTTGAAATTCTGGTATACGTTGCTCATATATAGATATGTATGGGTGGAGAAAATACATATCTGGAAGTATCTAAGCTGTTGACATTGAGAGGGCCCTGTGAAATCTTAATTTAGCCGTAATAAAAAGTATTACAAAGTATCAATTGGCTGCCAAGAGATATATATCCCTAGCATGTGACTATTTATGTATAGCTCATAACAAGAATGTACAAAAATCTAATGTCTTTTCTATTTTTGTAACTTTATTTCAGACAACTATTATCTTTATTGAAACCTGCAGGCAAATTTCAGACAGAACAAACAAAATGACGGATTTAGCTGTAAGTTCGGCCTGGCCGATCTTTGAATACTCTCCACCATTTAGAACGATTTTGACAATTTTACAAAAAATAAAATCCGTTAAAAATTCTGTTAAAATCTTAAAAATACCGAATGTTGCCTTTATATTAGGGTCAATACGACGAAGTGGACCTGCATAGGCAACTATTGTCGTAAACCAATAATACTCAAATGCGGAACTTGTATTAAAAAATTTCGGTGAATAATGTAGCTAAAATCATCAAAATACCGAATATCGGGAGGTACCGTATATGGTCGCTAAACGAAGACGTAGACCTGCACAGACAATTTTCTGTCATAGACTGTAGTATCCATTACGAAATTCAAATACCAAATTTCAAACAATTCTAGTGAATAATGTCGCTGAAAGCACACCGTTATATGGGGGGTGTGGTCTACACGAAGACGTGAAACTGCACAGACAATTTTCTGTCTTAGGCTGTAGTATCCATTACAAACTTCAAATATCAAAATTTGAAACAATTCCGGTAAATAATGTTGCTAAACTCATTAAAATACCGAACATCGGGAGGTACAGTTATATGGGGGCTATACCAAAACGTGGACCTACATGGCCCATTTTCAATGTCAAAAGTCCTCGAGACATAACATACATTTGAGTAAAATTTTATCATTCGACTTCATTCGTTCGGAAGCTAGAGTGATTTCCGCAGACGGACGGGCATCGCTAAATCGACATAGAATTTTATGCTGATCAAGAATATATATACTTTGTGGGGTCTCAAATGTATATTTCGAGGAGTTACAAACGGAATGACACCATTCTATGGTGGACGGTATAAAAAATAAGTAAAACAACAGCTGAGTTTGAAACATTGAAACATGTGAATTAAGATCTTAGCATATTTTAAGGCGCGCGAGTTTTTTGGGTTACTTTAAAAAGATAGATTTAGAACTTTGTTTATCCCGAACATATTTTAAGAAATAAGGTCTTCAAATTAAAAACATGAACTTTTGGTATAGGCATAATTTAGACTTGATTAAGCAAGCAATTATTGAGAAATTGTAGATTTCCTGAAAACTATTTTGTAGACCTCGATAAGCATAGTTATTGCTGAGCAATACTTAAAAAATTGTATTGAAAATGGATAATATAGATAAATGCTTATTCCCAATACAAGTAAAATGCCCAATATAACGAATTTGAAATGTTCAGCTATATTTTCATGTCGAATTGCCATTGACGCGACTTATAGTAATTGTATGAGGTTCCGCTAATTTCAAGTTTTTTTTTTTTTAAGATCCTAGGCAAATTTACATACTTGATTGGCATATATTATGTATGTAATGTTTGCTGAAGGGAAAAATATCCTTTAAAAAAGTTGTCAGTATTTATTGGGATACCGATGAATTAAGGGTACTTTTAGATGTGGACTACACTTACCAATAAATCAATGTCTATAAATTTTTGTATGGAGCGTTTATGTTCTCATGTCACCAAATTACAGTTTGGTGAGACCATTGTTTGGGGGCCATACCAAAACCGGAACCCTTATAGACAATTTTATATTTCAAGGATTGTTATCCACCAAAATACCAAATTCAGACAAATTTTTTTAGACAAATCCGAGGAAAAATTTGGCAAAAATAATGAAAATTTCGATTTCGGGAGGTGTGGTTTTATAGCGTCTATTCCAAAACGTGGACCGATACATCATTTTCAATACCAATCATCCTAAACACAATACAAATGGTTTTGCCAAATTTGGAAGCTCTACGTCAAATAATGTGGACTGTATCGAACTTTTAATACCCTCCACCATTTTTAAGAAACTTGAATAATTTCCAAAAAAAAAAGAAAAGAAAAAAAAATACCGCTCAAAGGAAAACATTTATATGGGGCCTATACAAGACGTGGTCCTGCATACACAATTTTTATCCAAATACCGAATATCAAGAGGTATTCTTTATGAGGGCTATACGAAGATGTAGACTTGCATACGCAATTTTTTTGTCATAGGCAGTAGTACCCATTACGAACTTTAAACAATTCCGGCAAAAAATGTCGCTAAAATCGACAATATACCAATTGTCGTCGCCAAAAATGGCTCGTGAGATCAACATATCGCAATATTCCATTCGGCAAATATTGAAAAATGAGTAAGAACTTACACCGCAATAGAAAAAATTAGACTCAAAAGAGCTAAAGAGATGTTTCGCTTGGCCGAAAATTGCGAACTGCCGAATTTGGTTTTCTCCGATGAAAAAACATTCGCTGTCCAGCAGTTGGTAAACCAACAAAATTATCGTGTTTACTTGCCAATAAGGTCAGCTGAAAATGTGCACCTTCGGTTGGCCACCAGAACTCAAGCGCCAGCCATGGTTATGGTGTGGGCCGCCATAACAGCCGATGGTCGCTCTCCACTCGTATTAATCGACCGTGACATCAGAATAAATGCCGAACATTAACGCGAAAATATTCTGGAGGGTGTATTAAAGCTTTGGGCACGCAAACATTTTGGCTGCAGACATTGGACATTTCAACAGGACTCAGAACCATCTCACTCAGCACGCGCCACCCAAAAATGGGGTTCATCGCTTCATTTCCAGCGCACACCAAAATCTCCGGATACCAATCCGTTGGACTATTGTATCTGGAGTATTTTGGAAAGCAAGGTTGGCACTAAAAAATACCAAAGTGTCGACCACCTCAAGCAAGCGCTTCGACGGGAATGAGCAAAAATAACGCAGAGCAACATTCGGGCAGCGTTTAATGGTTTCATTGGCCGATTGAAGGCCATAATTTGATGCTATTTCCGAACTTTTTTAGTTTTCATTCAATAAAATTGAAAAAAATGTAAAAATTATGGCGTTTGACTTTGTTACAGTTTTTTTATCTCACCCTGTACATATACTTTGTTAGGTTTAAAATTATTATTTCGATGAGTAACAAACGGAATGACGTACTTAGTATACCCGCCATATGATATTTTAAAATTCTTGGAACTGGAGATATAGTATCAGAATCGGAGGTACCACCGGAAATTTTAGATTTTGTATACACATATCTAATGATCGGTTATAGATACTGTCTTCAAATTAGGAATGTGTAACAGAATTTGGTACAAAAATCAATTTACCAAATTATATTAAAATCGGTTCAGATTTGAATATAGTTCAAATATTTTTTTTCGACCGATCTCATTTATTTGATGCACCAACCAGGCTATGTACCTCCTTTTTTAATGAAATTTGGAAAGAGTTACTAAATTTGGCATGTTCCAGCTTTTCACATGGTCAGCTGTACCTAGCGCGCTGGCGGACCGAGCGATGTGTTAAAAAAAACCCTTGTACATTCCAAATCATTATAATTAAAATGTTTTATAAATTCTTGAAATTGTTTTATTTTTATTTAAAACCCACAGCGAGTTTTCACGTAAAAGGCCCTGCAAAGTAAAAATCCTTCCCTATGTTAATTTTCAAATCTCCACTAAATTTGTTTCCAATAACAAAAAGAAAAACCCTGAGCAAAATGCAAAACCATAAAATGTCTATCATCCGCTAATGAAGCCCTGCCAACCAGCCAGGCTTTTACTTGCCTCTAAATCCCCAGCGTGGCAAAGCCTTGGCTGGTACACTAACAAGATTTTGAAAAGGATTTTCCCTTTTTGCACAATGTGCTCATGCATGCATGAGTGCCTGTGGTTTCTGCTGTCTTGTTTCGAGGCAGCTCCTGCTGAGGACCATGACGATGATGGCGCTGATGATGATTTGGCCGTTTCTTTATCTTTTAACGTAGTTTCCACTTTAAAAGTGTTTGTCTACTTTCGTTGTATTCAACGTGGCTCGTTTGGTTTTGGTAGTTAAGATTTTCTCAAGGGAAACACTGATGCTGCTGTAGAGCTTTGTTGTGTGGTGATTTTGGTATTTTCGACCAAGAGCAAAAATTTGGTCGATTTGGTTATTTGTGTATAACTCAATGAAACCTAATAAAGTTTGGTTACACAATAACTTTTCTGTACTTCTGTAGAAAAGATTTTTACGTAGCTCCAATACCCATACCCACAACACCTTATAATAGTCTCATAAACCTAGAAGGCATCTTACATGAATTTTATATCTATTGGACCTCATACAACTTTTCCATGTAGACAAGACTTCATACAGCTTTTCTGGGTATTAAAGAACTCATAAAGCTCTTCTATGTCTTGAAGACATCACAAAGCTCTCTCATTTATGAAGGACCTCTCAAAGCTCTTCTATTTCCAGAAAACTTTATGAAAACCTTTAATATATAAAACCAGTAAAGAAAGTCTTAAAGTCGGGCGGGGCCGACTTTATGATACCCTACACCACTTTGCTAATTTAGTGGAGCTCCACATAACAATTAAAAGTTTTTTTTTTTTTTATGGGAGAATTCAATCATACACCCCAAGATTATAATTTAAAATTCAAGGGACTATATAAATTCGGACTTGTATTGCCCATTTGGTGCAAAATTCATTTGAAATCAGATAAAGATATATATGGGAGCTATATCCAAATCTGAACCGATCTTGATAAAATTTGGCAAAGATATTTCTGAGCTGTATTTGATATA